AAAATAATGATTTAATAATTGTGAGCGCAAAAAAAAAAAAAAAAATTAACATTGAATATGAGGTTTTAATAATATCTAATGAATGGGTGACACACTGAAATAATTTAAATGTAATATTCAGAATACAAATTATTAATCTATTTTGTTTAACTGTCTCGCTACACAGAGCATAGGAACTTTCCAATATATTTAAATACCCCCTCCGCGACGACAATATATATAGGCCTAGGCCTCAGAAACGAAATTGTTTTTCTGTGAAACACAATCTACGAGTAATATCAATTATCTAAAAGTATAAATCTAATTCATATATCCAAGCGAAATGAAATAGAACAGATTCGCTAAGTGCTCCTCAGAGAACGAGCCTGATTTAGTGGGATCGCTAACATTTAACGGATATAAAATGCCACATCGCAAATAACATTAACTTGTCTTAGCAAAGGACTTATAAACTGTACAGTTTTTAAGCCCATGGTCTCAGCAACTTGTATTTGACCTATGAGCAGGACAGGCTATCCCTTACATAAGAAATGTTATTACTTTTTGAACTATGAAATCAAGAGACACAAACAATCTTTATCATACTAAAGAAAAGCTCTTTATCCATAATCATTCATTGGTAATATTTTTAGTTAGAATAACTGAAATAACCTTCCTCATATTTCTTAAAATATTACCTAACTGGGTGTATTGAAAATTTGCTATTTATCATTTTGTCAAACTTATTAAATGTTCTAATAAACAACTATTACAAATACCGTACAAGTTTTAGGAAATAAGAAGAAGGTGTATATTTACCGGATATTACTCGAACTTGCCTATTCTTAATGTTAGGGTTGGGTGCGCCCTCATTAATCATCACAAAATATGACAAATCGAGGTTCTACCGACTTAATTATCCACAGCATTATTATATCAGTTAAAAGTAGGTTATTGATAAAAAGCGCAACCCTATTCTGATCACGGGTCGATAAAACCCCCTGCTTATACTAGTTTTTTCGTTTCCTTCGTGTTTAATTCGTTATAAGATTCTCTTGTGCCCGATATCATATAAACCAATAATTTTAGGGCTTTGCTTGTGTCGTCCTTGCGGATATGGAATGGGAATAAGCTAAACTCATCTTATCGACTAACTTTTTAGCCGATTATATTTATAAGACTGGCAGTCTCGTAGTTGTTGTCGTAAGTGCTATGCGATCTAAAGCTAAAGCAGTTTTACCTCGTTGCCCATATTCTATTTTCTTCAACATAATATTTCGAATCAATTTAACTGGTTGCAGTGATTCATTTTTTTGTGCTACTGAAAGTGGCATAGTAATACGACAAGAATTGATCTTTAGGGTTTACTGTTATTGAGTATCAAGACATCACCACTGAGGGCGGTATAACGAATTATTGTGAAAATCGGCAAATATTAACTTTCATATTCTGTGGAGCACGAAAGTTCCCATTCGAATACGACAAACATTATTATGACAATTATTGAGGTGTTTAATATTTTCTTGCCAATTGCATGTAATTTGAGCTTGAGTGTATAACAAACTTACTATTATATCGGTATGGCTTAAATATCACAAAAACAAAAGGTAAACTAGTTCTTTCATTGATGTGTCATCACTGAGGTTCCATTGTCTGGTGATCATGAGTGAGTTACATTAGATGTACCGGTTTTGTCAATGATATCTAATTCAAATTATAGAGGATTGGCATGACGATAATAACAGTTAAATTAAAAGAATAGAAGGGAAGTGAACAGACTTGTAAATACCAAAGGACACATTCAGACAGAATATTAATGGTGATGATAATATCATGATGACATATTTCGGTATCTTTTATTCAACAAATATAAATACGTAAAGAAAGTTTATGGCAGTAAAAACTGAATTTCTAAGTTGTTAAAACATGTAGTAAAAAAAATCCTCAATGATTAAAATATACAAACATTACAGATAGCATACAGTACAGTAAACCATCAAATAACTACGTTCCAACCAAATAGTAAACATTTAACATACACATATTGATTAAGAAGTAAAACCTAATGATGACGATGATGGTGATGATAATGATAATCATGATGATGACGACACGGCGGAGGTGACTATGATGAGAAGGATGGTGGTGATGATGATCAAGATTATGACGAAAAGGGGGATGATCACGACGACGACACGATGATGATGATGATGATGATGATGATAAAATGAAGATGATGATGAGGATGACAATGATGAGGTAATGATAATGCTGATGCAGCAGATGAATATGATTATGATTGTGTAGAGATGAATATGAGGATGAAAATGACTTACAACCAGTATCGTCCGTACTCAGTTATTTTCATTCTTTCTTTTTTTCTTATTAATATTTTAGGAAGTCCCACTCAAAACTCAAAGAAAGTTGTTCCTGTAATTGTAAATCTAAAAACTGGGGAAAAAACATTGTGATCCTAACTTAAACTTAAATTATAATTGCATTTTTCATATGATATGTTCTATGTTCTTTTTTGTCTGAAAGCATTGAAGTTTCGGAAGTACATACATACATATGTATTTATATAGCGCTGCTACTTTAAGATCGTATGCGATGAAGAAAATAATCATCATGACAACCTTTAGAACCATACCATAAAACATGGGATAATATTTTAATTTGAGATGATTTAATAGCGTCAATGATGGACGATACGGTACATCGAGAAAATATAAGCTGTAGCGTAGCAACAACATAGATAAAAGTTGACGGATTGAGTGCTGTATAAGGTGATTGCATAGTAGGTGATTTATCGAATTAGTAGTAGAATGCGGGACCCCCACCGGGGTTTTAGCCCTGGACCCCGGGGGCCCTTGGCGGCCCCCCTGGCCCCAGCCAATGGTGCTCGCAAGTGTAAGGTATACTGTAGTTTCGTCAGGGAGTTGTTATTAGAAGGAGTCACAACAAAATCCTCTCTTTTGATCAGTCTACTTTTCCGACAAGATAAGAAAGCAGAGAGGTAGATAACGACGAGGTTCAATTACCGAATATGAGCATGCGCAGTAAACCTTCTTATGCTTGTGCGTGACGAAAAAGCATGGCAACTATCAGTTATCAAGCGTCAAACCGATACAACAAATATGCCCCTATATCATTTCCCTGCTACGAAAACATGTTCAGTTTGAACTCAAATTACGTTTCTGTACGAAACTGTAAGAAAATGAGACATAAAGAAAATGATAGTTAACAAGTTGCATAAACTATTTGTCCTAGTTATAAAATGGAGATACGTGCGGAAAATATAAAATATAAGCTTTAAAACTTATCAAAAACCCATGAAAATCGGTGTACGAACAAACACATATAGCTCCACTTCAAATAGTCGTAACTTTTTAACGAAAAGGCGAATTTTTATGCGGTTTTTTGTAAATTATTCTTCGTAAAACTCTCTTGAGATGCAAATTTATTGAATCAATTGCAGCGGAAATAAACAATGGATGAACACAAAACAAAATTGGCGGCCCCCCTGGCCCCAGCCAATGGTGCTCGCAAGTGCCCTCTTTCAATATCAAAAAGAACCCCCCTACCAAAATCCTGGCTACGGGCTTGCTCTCCATGTGACTGATGCTGCCAAAAGAGTTAATACAAAATTAGGATCATCAAGACATCATTTACGTCTTTAAACAAAAAAGAAATGCTGAACTTATACAGGACTATAGAGGGGCATATAAGCTTTAGCTTCGAGCCCGACAACAAAAGTAAACAATACTGTGGATGTACTAACTTTAATGAAAATTACGCCCTCACACCAGACAGAGAAAACATACACCAACACACACACACACACCAACTTGCGATTTTTCTGAATCGAATCCTCCTGCTTGATGGATCTGTTTTTATGTTGAGAGTCGGTTGAGTGGTAAAACGCAGATTTCGAAGTGTAAGAGGCGCGCCAAGAAAAAGTATATATTTAACAACTAAAACGTACTTTAATAAGGAAGGAATATATTAGATTTTTTTCAAAAGTAAGGTATACTGTAGTTTCATATTATATATAAAGCAATGATGGGTTGAAATTACAAATCTCTCCCCCTGAAGACTGAGAGACAGAGCAGCCATGTGATCGGAACAGGCGCCGTGTATGCTGCTAGGCCCAGGCTAGATAGATAGGACTAGTCCTTCCTAAAACAAGTCTAGGCTAGGCTTAGGCATACAACAGATTACAGTACAGCAGCTCATTGTCCACGTATCCATCTTTTGCATTTATGCCTAGGCCTAGGTTAATTTCTTCAGTCTACCTTATTATGTGCCCTAGCACTGCAGCAGCTGGGCTGGGCGTTTGCATGCATTCCTCCTATATTATAGGTTTGTTAAAAAATAAAATCATCTGGTTTGGATCCAAATAATAGTGATGCATAGGCCTAGGGTTTGTATGTAGGCCTAGTGCTTGTAACCTTCTTAACATGTAGGCCTAGTGTTTGTAACCTTCTTAACAACACTACGCATTGGCGAAACTCGAGCGATGCCATAATAATTTAGTGTTCAGTGCATTGTGATTGTGGGTAGATGGCTAACTTCTCAGCTTACAAAAACCACTTGGCACTCGTTAAAGTTCTTTCATATTTGGTCAAATTTTTTATTACTTATCTCTCTAAAATACTATTATAATCATTAGAATTGCTATGTACTTTCCTGACCACAGAAGTGGATTTTATTCAAGTGTAAACTTCAGTCGTCGATTGCAGCGGAAATAAACAATGGATGAACACAAAACAAAATGCATTACTGTTCTTTAAGTTCTTTAAACTATAATTTGTATATCAATGCATGACATCATTGATATCCAATCAGAAACGATATTTTAAAGATTTTTTTTAAAGCCGAATATCCTGACACAGAAGTGCAAGGCCACCATGAAAGAGTGACCAAATATTGCTTGTAACATACCTACCTACTACCTAAAATAAATGGGGTGACGGACCATCAGGTCCATTTCCAGACGATCTGGCCCAACTAGCGTGTACGATAGGCCCCACGCAAAGACGATTGCGTCGGACTATCGGGCCCACGTTCATTTTGATTCATTAATACGTTCTAAATTCATTTAACATAGAGATATTAATTATTAAGTATCATAATTAAATGATATATTTGTTTATTTTGGTATATCAAGCATCAACTAATACAAATGACAGTCGTGGGCTGAAAATGATTTTGGCTACTTTACAGCTATACCCCAATCGTGTGTAATTTAATAAAGGGATGACTTTCTCGGCGGCCGTCAGCGGATTTTGAATGGAGCCCCATATGGGCATGCTGTGATGTAGGCCTTTTTTAAACTCCCTAATTCACAATGTTATTCTTCTGCACAATGTATTGCTTTCATGTATAGTATTTACTTTTAGCTGCGAGTCTGAATTTCTATCGAAGCTAACTTTCAGTTAAGAATTGAATTTGTAACACTTTGCTAAGTTCAGGGAAGTGCAGCATAACATAGTGCTCAACCATTGTATCAAGGCATTCAATCGGTGCACTCCATACATTTTGACATTTGATGGGCCCAGCCGAGATTGTTCACAGCGAAAATTTGCCTAATGCAAAATAAATTTTCTAAACTGAATGCAAGAATTATCAGATGAGCACAATATTAATATTTTTTTGAAAGCATAAATTTACTTAGGCTGGTTCAGTTAATGCTTGAATCCAGATTCATTTAGATTTATGAAAATTAATCATTTTTTTTTAGATTGTAAACCTGTCATTTTAATTCAGTGACTTGGGTATTTGAAAATGCCAAAACGAGATGCAACTTCCGAGCTTACAGACCGCAACTGGGATCAGGAAGATGAGCCAGAAGAGGTAACTTAAACTGTAAATTGGGAGTTTTCGATTTGCGTGATCACGCGACTTATAGCATATTCACTCGTGCGTGACCGTCCTATCAGGTGTCGTACATTGTCTGCATACATAGATGTGACCAAATTGCGTCATAGGATCCACGCGACAAGAACTTGTATGCGCAGATGACTTTTAGTTACGTCATTACGTTCTACCGTTGTCGTGCAATCAAAAAGCTTCCAATATTACCGTAATGGAACATTTGTTTATAAATCTGATGAAATTGACAATAACGTTGATATGTAGAATAGGTTTTTCTCAAAAGAATAATAATAATAATATTAATAATAATATTATTGTTTGTTAATAAATGACAGTTTAGGTCTGTATGTAGCCAAACAAAATACTATTTTTTGCCAGTTTGGGTTATTTACCAGCACCTTGTACCCACCCCTTGGTCAAATAACACTGGGTACTACATTGATTGACAACAGAATTTTACTTAAGAATCTTTCAACAGTAATTATATTTTTCCCAATAACAAAATGTTGCTTTTAAGCTGTTTGGCTCTCATGTAACAATGGAAATTGTAAAGTTGGTCTAATTTTTCTTAGTCTTACAGCATTTTCCCCCTAATTTTAATCAGATATTTACAGTTTTAATGTTTTGTCTTATTTTCTCATAGGCTGGAACTTTTCAGGTAGCTGCAAGTAAAGAAATCGAAAAACGAGTGATAAAGAAGGCAAGGAGGAGAGTGAATGAGGGGGTGAGAATTACACTTTTCTTTTATTTTGTATTTAAAATTAACTAGGAAATATATGAAAACAAATAATAATATTATTCACTTTGTAAAATAGTGGCTTAACATATTGCTTTGCTAAATCAGTGTTCTCCCCAGGATAAAAACTAGCAACTATTTATATTTTCTATTGTTCATTCTTTTACTTGTAATTTCTTATAGTTTTTTTTAAAGCAGAATATAAAAAGAATTATATGTTTTTTAGGGAGGTAGTGAATCAGCATTTAGTGGATTTAAAGGATTTGGTGGATTCGGAGCTAAGTCTACAACAACAGCGACCAGTTCCATGTTCAATTTAGGCTCATCTAAACCAAATGGTGGTGACAACAAACAAATAGCCAGTTTCAGTTTTGCACCCAAACCACAAACCAGTGAGGTTCCTATGTTTAAGGTTTCTGGTAAGAGTACTGCATCCGATACATTAGACCAAGCAAAAGTATCGTCAAATGGTAATAACAGTACTGACTACACAACACAACTACAAAGCCTCAATACATCTGTATTGGCTTGGATAAAAAAACATGTAGATGAAAATCCAGTGTGTGACCTCTCACCAATATTTAAAGATTACAAAAAACATCTTGCAGACATTGAGAAAAACACTACAAAGTCGGAAAAATCGGAATTAACGACACTGGAGAGTGTTGAAACTTCACAGAAAACGACAACTGAACCGGCTAAGCCACAAACCGCATTTACAACAGGTGGTTTCACATTCCCACAAACGGCATCGGAAAGCAAGCCATGCTCGGGAAGTCTTCTGTTTGGGAGTGCTGAAAAAACAAACAGTGGTGCAGGATTATTCAAACCAGTGAGTAACGTGATTGGTCAATCAGCCACTAGTGGGTTAAATTTTGGAAAAATTAAACCCGACTCATACCCCTTAAGTTTTGGTGGAGCTGTATCTAAAGGTGGGATATTTTTTTCTTCTTTCGTTCATTTAGGGGTCATCCATTATTTTCTTGATTTTTACAAATGTACAAAACATACTTTTTCCTATGGGCCTTCTCCCCCTGAAAAATTACACAATAGAATGATAATTTTGTCATTTTAAAGAAGTACATACAGGTATGCCTACATTGTCTGCCTACATTGTCCACCTTCTCCCCCCCCCCCAGGCGTATTTTGTGCTGTTGTTAAAATAATGAACATTATGGATGGTTCCTTATTCAGAACTTGAGGCTTGCCATTCCAATACCAGCACCTGTGATAAAAAAAAGAGTTAAAATTGATTTTTAACCCTTTCCAGTCATATGGCATCACGACGACGCCCACTTTGACCATACTTTATAGCGAGGGGCATCGTACGTACGCCCCGTATAGATTTCATGATAATTTTTTTATAGTTAGGCTGCCCTCTATAGGATTTTTTGAGAGTGATGTAGGAGTATTTCTGTAGAGGGCCTCCTGTATTCAGACCAGATAAAATGCCTGGGCCCAGTAAAAACCCGACATTTAGTGTAGATGATGTAATTTCTCAGCTTTGGTACAGCCTCAGGCAATGGTAATGGGGCAGACTGGAAAGGGTTAATTTATTCTCCATGTTATAAGCTTTAAAATGATGAGTCATATTGGAATCAACTTATTGCCAAAGTTATCAGTGAAAGTATTACAGCTTTTCTGTACTTCTGTATGGCGATGATAGGATACAAAAGATCTCTGATAAAAACCATCAGGAGACGACAAAAATGAACTTCCTTGGACACATCTGCAGGAAGAATGAAATAGAGAAACAAATGCTATGTGAAAAAATAGAAGGGAAGAGAAGCGGGGGATGGCAGAGGACTACTGTAAGTATATGGACAGCCTCAACACCTATGTCACAAAGAACACCATAAGCAACACTGAGCTGATAAGGAAGACTGTCAACAGAGAGGTCTGGCGTGCTATGGTCGTCGATGTCTGCTCCAGACCTGACACTTGAAGAAGAAGTACTTTAATATACAATACCGCCACATTCTTATGCTACTTACTTCTTATGCTAGTTTAACATTGATTGAATAAATGTATATTGAATTGAATTAAATTGAATTGAACAATTATTGATTTTGGAATGGCAAGCCTCATATAAAATTATGTACATAATTTCACTGGATTAAATACGGTAATGTGGTATGTTAGCAAACATGTCTTCCTCCATACATTTACTCTAGAGGGATGTGTACATGGCAGGCTCCTATACATTTTTATAATGATCCTGTATTATGTTTTATACTTTGTTGTAGATGAAGACGAATATGAGCCTCCAAAGGCAGAAGTGAAAGAAATTAAAGAAAAAGACTCTCTGTTTACTATCAGGTAGGTTTTGATGTTTGTTACAAAATATTGGATGTGGTGGTTGTGGTGATGGGGGTGGTGTTGGATTATGATAACCAAAACGGTGACCATTTGGTTTGCTCTGCCAACTGGGCTATGAGACCAAGCTGTTATAGAGGAAGCGGTTTGGCGCAGTGAAAATGGTTTGGTTCCCAACCTTGTGGTCGGGGTTTCAATTCTTCACTGTGCAAATCGCTTGTGTCGTTGAGCAAGGCACTTTATCTACATTGCTTCAGTCTACCCAGCTGTATCAATTGGTACCAGCAAACTGCAAGTAACCTGTGGTGGGCCAGCTTCCCACCCAGGGGAATTATTACAGTCTCATCCGCTTCACGCTACAGAAACTGGGGATAAGCTCCAGCCCTATGATCCCTAGTGCTCAGCAAGAATTTACTGTACATACCAAGCTGGTATACAGTTTTAAAATAGTGTAGTAGCACAGGATGAAGGTACTCATGGAGCAACTGCTCTGGGGTTTGTTGTAATCTGATTTCGTGTAAAGTTTTGTGGGATGTTTTCTGTTGTATTCGATAAATATTATGTTATTTTTTTCTGTCTAGGTGTAAATTGTTTTATAAGTCTGATGATGGTTACAAGGATAAAGGAGTTGGCAACTTGCATTTGAAAAAGATGGGTGCTGTCGCTCAGCTCATCATCAGGGCTGATACAAATCTAGGTAAGGTGGAATAACTGTTTCCTGTAACATGCAACGTGATAGTGATATTCAATCAGAATAATTTGGTGAGAAATTTCTTTTAGGATAATATGATAGGTTAGCAATTTGTTAATGATTTGAATTGAGAAAGCAAGTGGATTGTTTAAAAAATGTAATAGCTCGATTAGTTATTGGATGTTTTTAATAATTAATTACAGTGTTCGCTTTCTCAAGGAAAGTTGAGTTAAAAAATTTTGTTGCAAATTCAATTCAAATTTATTTCGGGTAAAAATTTGTGCAAAAAATATGTACATCAAAATTACAAGAACAATAAAACAAAGAGTGTTGCCAACACAGGATGTCATGTTACTCTCTGTGGCAGCACCCCAAAGCCAATGAATACAATAGAATAAATATATATATATATTATTTATGAAAATATAAAATTTAAAATTAAGTGGTTTGACTAAATAAAGCTAATGGATTGTGTTTAATTGTTTGTGAACTGCTGTCGTAAACAAATTGTTGTAAATGAAAATTAAAAAGTAATCTTGCAGTCATCAACAATATCATGTTACTGTGTATATTGACATGTGTTGCGTAGACAGTACCGTAATACTATGCTTACTCTGTCCATTGTACACAGAACAATATCAATTTGGCAAAATACTATACTTTTTTTTTAATGAATATATTACTTTACAGGGAATATTATTTTGAACATTGGACTACCACCCAATATTCCCCTTCAGCGACAAGGTAAAAACAATGTGATGATAGTCATCCCGCCGAACCCACCACTCAGCAATAAGTGCCCACAATGTAACAAGAAATACCTGAATCCACAAGGAAGCAACGTCTGCGAGAGCGGATGCAAAGCTCAACCGGTTCCACTTTTAGTCCGTGTCAAGACTGCCGAAGATGCGGATAAACTACTTGAAGAAATTAAAAAGATCATGAAATGATCTGAATTAATTAGAATTTTGCCGGGTGCACAACCTCTCCAAGCTACCCTTTCGCCAAAAAATCAAATAGAATTTTTCCTAACCACCAAACTTCTCTATGCATCCCCTTCCCAGAAGCAGCCCTTTACTGAAGAAGTGTTGTAGAACTAAAATGAACATAGAATACATTAACTGCTCAGCTCCCTAGCTTGCTGTAATATATAATTTGAATGTTTTAATATTTATGTACCATAATAATCATATATTGAATGTTAATAATTCATTTTTCAAATGTTTTAGGACTTGAGGGTTGAATTTCACTGGGGAGGGGAATGGTGATGGTTAATCTCTGCTATTAATTTATGTTTATATGGGCTTCCATTTGTTTCATTTTATTCTCTTCATTCATTTACTTCTATGTGTTTTCTTTTATGGTACAATTCTGAATATCTCTCATTTTGTTTTCTCATTCCATCATCCAGTAACTTCTTGTGTGTACTGTGTAAATCCCTCATTTGTTTTAGTATTATTTTATGATTCTTGTACAGATATTGAACTTCATCTACAGTAAAACTTTAGAATGACATTGGTTCATAATGACCGTATGTTTTTATTGTTATTGTATCATAGCTTTTAGTTGCATAATCTTAGTGTGAATTTAAACTGAAACAATAATTAATAAATATAAAATTCATATGATTTAATATCATATATGATTTCAGTTCAACTCTGTAATTTTAATTATAATTTGCTAATTTTTAATAAAGTCTTATTATAAAAATATTTTTAGCAATGTTTGTCTTGTTTTATTTACGTTATTTTTAGTAATGGCTGACTGCAGCAAATACAAAGATAGGCAGAAGGCCTGCGTTTTTGGGGACAGTTGGATAAAATTACATTCACTTGAAAATGAAGAGAGTAATCGTATGCATGCTGTGTATAGCACATTAAACATGGTATAAACACATTTTATCTCCAAATTTATATATATATATAAACCACATGATATAATATTGCTGTTTTTTTTTTTTTTGGTGATTTTTTTTTT